TTACCCGAGGATATTTTTTTCATTGATGTAAAAAAAATTTATTTTAAATATGCCTTTATTGATTTCAGAGAGAAGAAGGGAGAGGGAGAGAGAGAGAGAAAAAGAGGGAGGGAGGGAGAGAGAGAGAAAGAGAGAAATTAGTGATGGGAGAGTCATTGATCGGCTGCCTCCTGTACGCCCCCTGCTGGGGTTTGAACCTGCAACCCGGGTGTGTGCCTTGACTAGGAATTGAACCTCAAATCTCTGGGATCCTAGGTCGATGCTCAACCACTGAGCCATGCCGGCCGGGCAAACCCATGCTTTCTTAATTTTAAGCTTGTCTTGTCACACTTCTCATTTGTGTTTTTTCTTTCTAAATTGGCACTGCAACAAGAGGAACTATACAACTTCCAAAAAGTCTTTGCTACTTTGTATGTGAGGGCTCTAGTGTGCCACATTACTGGGGAAGCTAAAACCTCCGAGTTTTGTGTGTGATTCTTGACTGGGGAGAGGGGGTTCTTGGCTGTTGCAGGACTGTGGCTCTTAAGAGCTGAAATGCTAAACCTGAGCAGAAAGGTGGCACTCAAGTAGTTAGGAAAGAAGCTAGGTGATTATTTATACTTACTGTTCTTTTTTCTCTTCCATACAGTGCTCTGGTCTGGGGTCTCTCTGTGAAACACAATCCTCAAAAAGTGGGTAAAGACCATACGTTGGAGGACGAGGATGTCATTCAAATTGTGAAGAAGTGAAACCTTCCCCCTCCCTCACTTGCTGGCCAACCACTGCTGCTTTCCCCATGACCAAGCAACTTGCCCCAAGCCCCTTCTGGCTTTGGCAGCCACTGGATCAGGATTCAGGGGAGGGAAATGGAGGTACCCAAACTGGATCTTCACTTGTCTTAACTTAGTGTCACCTTGTGTGTTGAACTGCATAAAGGACCTGTAGGCCAGCTGGCTATGTGCAGTTCATGTGTCATTGTCAGAATTTGTTTTGGGGTGGACTAAATGTGGATGGGCATGTATAGTGAGGCAGCTGGATAAGGGGTGCTTGGGAACTTGGTCTTGAGTGTGAACTGGATAAGAATGTGACTGTAACATCTTATTTGATGTTTAATCATGGGAAACCCTTCCAACTGGTGTGGCCTTCAGTCCTTTCAAGTGGTCTTTCCTAGATGATGCTGAAGGACTGGAAGTTAACTGCTTATTTGCAAACCTAGCCCATTTGGGAGATGATGTATGGCGACTGAGTAAAATACTCTGACCAGGCATATTGGAGTTTGAATTGCCGGTTCACCTCTAATTGGCTGTGGAACCTCAACCTCTGTAAGCGTCAATTTCCTCATATAACATGGAAATAATAATAGCACTTACTAGAGTGGAGATTGTTAGTATTAAGGGATATGGTACTTGTAAAATGCTTAGCACAGTATCTGGCATATAAGTACTTGGTGAATGTTGACTCTTGTCACTGGTCCCTTTCCTTTACCTGGACTCCTTGTCTGCCCTAGTCAGAGAACAGCTGTCTATCACTGTTAGGCTGAATGTTGAACTGAACTGTGCTGCCAGGTGGGCCACTAAGTGTCTCCTTTCCTGTAGCCCAGCCTTTCTGCTTGAACCCCCATGGCAGTCCTGGCCTCAACCACATAACCTGGGTGAAGGCATGGAGGCAGAACATTGCAAGTGAGGCAACCAGTGTGATCAGAGCAGGTTTGTGTATGTACATAATGTGTTATGTATGGAGGTGGGAAGTTAGGTTAGGAGGGATGGCATCAGGACTACTTGAGAGGCTACTAAGGGTATTATCAGGTTTTGGGCTGGGAATAAGGGATTTTGAAGAGGTTGCTCTGAAAATGGGAAGTTGGCAAAAATTTTTGTGGTGGACTGGCTAGTGAGAATATGGACAGAGGGAGGGTGTGGGCATGTAGGTACAGAGGAGAAATTTAAAACTAGTGACTGACTTGCTTTTTAGAGGAAGAGAAGTCAAAGATGATTTCATTATGGATTACAGGGTTGATAAAGAAGGGAAAATCAGGAAGGGAAACAGATTTGCAGGAGGGAGTTTGATTATAGATGAAGCGAGCTAGAGCTAGCAGGTTGTGAGAGATGCAGATGTGGAATTATACACGTATTCAGGCTTTTCTAGTACTTGTTTCTTTTGCTTTCTTGGTGACAGTTGTTTCCCTCTGATAGTCTTCCTGGAGCTTGGGCTTAGCACTGTCCCCAGACCCAGAAGATAAGCCCCTCAGGCCTGGTGTCCTAGTCACTCTGTAGGATATATGCCTTGATATCACTGGTACATTCATGATAGAGGCCATACTTCTGGAGCCTAACTCTTCAGAGAAACATTGGCTTTCTGAGCTATGCTATTTCCAGGGAGGTTTGCTCTCTAGCCAGAGCATTTATAGGATTTGGGGGGAATCCTCATCCACAAATTCACTTTCACTGAGCAAGAACTTAGCTCTTCCAGGATGTTGGGGAGAGAAGGTTGCTGAANAATTCACTTTCACTGAGCAAGAACTTAGCTCTTCCAGGATGTTGGGGAGAGAAGGTTGCTGAAATCCAGTTATCTAAGGCCTCAGGACGTGTTTTGATTAGGCATTCCGTCATTCAGTACCCTCCCCTCACCCCATCAGTTGCCCCCTGGTACTTGAGTGCATTATCTTACCCTTCCTTTCTCTTTTTGGGTTCAGACTTGGGAGTTCTGGGAAAGGGGTACAGTTTTGTGTTAGGGATGCTGCCTGGGGTAGGGCCACCAAGGTCATTCTAAAGGCTTTCATAGTGGTTTGGCTGTGACACATCAATTTCCTGTGCTATTACATGTTTTTTCTTTCCTGATCTTCTTTATCACTGATAAGCAGACTCACTAATCTGTACCATTAATTAGTTAGAATCCTTTTAGCTATATTTTAATAACAAACACTAACTGAAAAGGAAGGGAACTTGATCTCTCACATAAATTGTCTGGAGCTCAGATGTGCTCATGGCAGCTGTCACTGAGTATCCAGATTCTTCCCCCCGCCCATAATATATTTTTGTTGACTTCAGAGAGAGAGGAAGGGAAAGGGAAAGATAGAAACATCAGTGATGAGAGTCATTGATCAGCTGTCTCCTGCACACCCCCTGCTGTGGATCAAGCCCAAAACCTGGGCATGTGCCCTGATGGGGAGTTGAACTGGGATCTCCTGGATCCTAGGTTGATGCTCAACCGCTGAGCCACACCCCGCTGGGCCAGATTCTTAAAATTAAGCTACTCCGTCCACTCCACTGCAGATTGCTGGCTTTGCTGGGCAACTGGTTCCCCTGTCACAGAATGTCTGCTGCAGTCCCAGGGTCTGCATCAGCAGCCAGAGGATAATGAGGGCTGAGTCTTATTTTTTGGGGAAGCCATTTCCCAGAAGCTGCCCAGGCATGTTATACTTGTGTCTCATGGCCTAACTTGGTCACATGCTCATTCTTGAATCAGTTGTCGGTAAAGGGAATAGAATTACTGAAGAATCAGTTTACTCCTATAAGTTACTGTTCCTGGGTTGTGTTTGTGCTTCTCCCTTTAATTTACAAAGAAGGGCTAGTGGACCTGACTTCCTTTCCATCATAATAGAGCCTGGCTTATAAGACAATAGCTAATAGGTATCTTCTGAAAGAAGGCCGGGCTGTATTCTACTTTACTCCCCTCCCCCAATTGATAATGGCTCTTAGCTCCTGGAAGACTGCATTAACTTCTTCCATCCACTCCCTCCTATACGCCAAAACTGTTTAGTTAAAAATCTGTACATTTAACTTTTACCTATGGAATTCAAAAGAATTCTAAACATAGGGTCTATTTTCTGAATCTGAGGAATCACACAGAGAAAATCCTATGGGAAGGAGGATAATGAAGTTGTACCCAGAAGAGACAGACCTCATGCTCAATCCACAAAGCCAGGTTAAAAGGTGACCTGCTTTCTTATGTTCCTGGAAGTATAGGGCAGAGTGGGCAGCTCCAGGTTTATAAGCAATACCTTTCACACTTAAGACTCAGGTTGTTTTCTTCCTCTTGCAGTCAAAACCCAACCACCTTGCCTTTCACCTGTGAATCACAAAATGGCCTCATTATTTGACCCTCTAGCATAAAGTCAAAATAGCTTTGATGGCCATAAATGGGCATGTATCGAGAACTTGGGAAAATTCAGTTGAGCTTGAGAAGTATTAAGTGTCATCACCTTAGATCAGTAGGACTGAAAAATCTTCAGTCAGAAAAGGGGATTCAAGACCATAGCTATAGTATTCTGGGGGAATCCTCTTCAATGCTGTACATGTAATTAAGGTGAACAATGAAAATAATTGAGTTGAGGAACAAGATACAAAACACAAGGAATCAGTTAACACAAGCATCAGAATCTCAAGGGAATTTCTGTATGGAAAAAATTAGACTTTAATTGATTTAATCAGAATTGAGGCCCTGTTTTTCCCTATAGGGGACTTAGAGCTAAACAGGATGCCAATAAACTATTTACTTTTGCTCCAGTAAACATGGATTTGTTTGGGAGAAACTACCACATGCATGATTACTCGATAAACAAATTGTTTACTAGGTAGGTTCAATCTAGAAACTGCTCCTTGCCCGGTACGGTGTGGCTCAGCGGTTGAGCATCGACCTATGATCCAGGAGATCAAGGTTTGATTCCCAGTCAGAGCACATGCCCGGGTTGCAGGCTCGATCCCCAGTAGGGGCCATGCAGGAGGTAGCTTGGTCAGTGACTCTCTCATCATTGATGTTTCTCTCTCTCCCCGTTCCTCTCTCTAAAAGCAATAAAGACATATTTTTTAAAAAAATCTGCTGTTAGCCACAAGGCTGCCTATAGGGTCAAAACTCAAGAAAGAAGGCCATAAATTCTCTTACTAAATGAGATAAAGTTCAGTGCCATGGTTTTAAAGAAAAATTAAAACTTCATTTCTCTCAAGGAACCTATTGAGCCTCATGGGTGAGCTGGTTGGAAATGAGGAGGAAGGAATTCAGGAATAAAACACAATAATGCCATTCACTTCACTCACACACCGCATATGCAACTTTAATCAACAACAAAAAAGTCCCAAATGTACAAGTGAAAAAAATCCAAACTGTTGACACAGGCATAACTACTATCAGCTACTTTTATGTACAGCTGTATAAGTTCAAAAAAGCTATCCTATACGTATATACAAAAATTGTTTATACACAGGTCTGTACATAAGGGTCTATACATTTATTTCCTCAGAACCCTTAGGTGCCACCTCCTGGTGAAGACACCAACACTTCATTCACATATCTTACAAAAAAAGAAAGTATTTCTGGCATTGACAACACTGTGCATCCTGTATTCAGACCATGTAGGCTTTCATTAACTGGTTAAGATCCTTCAATCATGCAGACCACACCAGATGCCTAGGCCTCCTAAACAGCTTTGCACAGGGTGCTCCAAAGTAAAAGCCTGTAAACCAAGCAGTCATGACCAGGGTACCACCACAGGTCCAGGGTTAGGTGAGCCTGCCTGCCTTGCTCACTGTCGATACTCTAATTCATCTACACTGATGACTTTGGCAGGCATGGAGGGCAGGGGCTGCTGTAGCACATCAGAGCCAAACCATTTGGCAAGGCCCACTGGGGAGCTGCTCCTCTGGCTGGGGCGATGTTCCAGCTGGGAATGCACGTGGGGCAGGCCCGATCGGCTGGGCACATTCTGTGGGGTTGTCTGAACACTGACAGCTGCTGCCTGGGAACCAGAGCCTGGAGGATGAAGAACTGTGGGGATAAGAAGGAAGGGTTAGAGCAGGAAGGGGAAACCACTACATCAGGCCCTGCTTCACTCAACTCTACCCCTAAAACTCCAAACAATTCTTTACCTGATGATTTATTCTAGGAAATTCCTTTGCAAAATGCCAGTAGACCTTGGAAAGCTGAGCTATTCAGAAACCGCCACCCACATTGAGAACCCATCCTAAATGACATGACCACTACTTCCCACAGCAAGCAGCCACATCACAGAAGAACTAACATTAGCTGGTGAGAGGGCATCTACTCTGTGCAGTCCCCTATGTTGAACCTTTGTTGGAAGGACTTTCAGCCCCCTCTCCAATGAGGCAAAGGACAAAAAAATGCCAGAGCACACTTGGCTCTCCCAGTTTTACAGGAACAGGAATTCCAAATCCTGCAGAGGTTGGTTTACATCATCCTAGTCTCTGGTTATACCCTTATCCCAGTCTTGCAGAATAAGTTAATGAATTGTCAGTGTCAATCCATCCCCTTCACTGGGAACTGGTCCAAAGCTTTAAGCCTATTCATATTCAGGCCACCCAGCTCACCTGGCCCATTCCTGAACCCTCCTCAACCCACCTGAACGCTGTAGCTGCTGCTGCATCATTGCCAGATGCAGAGGTGTCCCAGGACGAGGGTTTAGGAGAGGGTGACTAGTGGCAGGTAAAGGGTAAAAGGGCTGACCCAGGATTGGGCCAGATATTCCCTGTAAATGAGTCAGATCCATCCCAGGAGGAAGCACACCTGTTGGAAAGGAAGAAACTGATGAGAAATAATCTACCTGGAGATTTCCAAGCTTGATTGCAGTGCTGTTGATCTGAAAGTTTATTAAGAGTGAAAAATGCTCAATCTAGCTTCCTAATCTTTTAATGGACTAAGGCAGGGATGGGGAATCATTTGGTCCAGCCATCACATTAGGGGTGAGTTAATTAAATATTTGACAGAATACAGCAGGCTAATTTTTAAGTTGATAATTTTGTATGGCCCACAAATGATGTTATAAATGTCCAAATGGCCCTTGGCAGAAAAAAGGTTCCCTACCCCTGGACTAAGGGGTGGACTGGATTGGAACCACTGCCCACCAGTTAGATGAAAAACTCCACTAACATCTTTCTAGGGATGAAAACCACAGCACAGCACTTTACCAGTTCTAGCAACTGTTGTCATGCCAGGTCAGAAACTCACCAGCTTGGAGCAAACTTGGAAGATGCTGTGGATGTATTCCCTGGGCCAGCATCCTTTGGACCAACCCTGGGTGAAGCTGGTGAGCAGGCCGAACGATTGGGACATGGGGGACAATGGGAACTTGGTGGACAGGACGGAGAAAAGGTGTTCCTGGAACTGGGGATGCCAAGGTGGGTGTTTTTCTCCCAGTTGCTTTAGGTCGATAATCTTGTTCTTTGGTGTAACGGTTGGTCTGGGACAGTGGGGTGGAACATGAAGACCGCTGCAACGTTGACAGTTTGGGGTTTGTAGTGGGAGAATAGTCTCGATCAGCACTGGGCACAGAGTTGGATGACAAGAGGTTCTCTGTAGGGATCCAGACAGAATATTTTTGGGGTTGGCAAACTTCTCCCAAACACTATCCTCCCAATGATCCAGTACCTAATTTTTTGGAAAGCTCACAATCTTTGATTCCCCTCAACAAATTTAGAGGACTGCATAAAAAGGGAACATCAGTTTGCCTTAGGAATAGGCCTAGTCAAGGTCATACAAGTAGTCAGGGACAGAACTGGGAGCAGACCCCAAGTTTTCCAGTCTTCAACACTTTGCTGGAACAGAGTTTATCTTTGCAGCACTCTAAAAACCCAAAGGCTCTGAACTTAAAAAACAGTATAACTCTTAAGCCCCCATTTTTATTCTTAAAATCCTTTCAACCCAGTTATAGTTATTGGGTAAGTGAGCCTGGCATGTCAGGTCTGGTGGTCTAACTCAGCTGGGTACCTTGCTCTGCCCGTATGGCTGTGGTCTGGATCTGTGTGGGAGCAAGTCCTGTCCTAGGTAGCTGCTTGGGATTAACATGCTTTTTAAAAGCATAAGATAAAAATCAAGTAAGTAAAATTATGCAAATCCATCGTAACAAAGTTCAAATAGCAATTACAGTCTGGTGAAGGAATCTTAACTCTTTTTAAGTTAGAGCGACAGGATTACCCTCCCCCTCCCCCAACAACTTCCTCTAAGGCAAAAAGCTCTTATACCAATACTCTAGACCTGTGTAAACCTAACTTACCAGAATGTTTCACCATGTCCTTAACAATCTCAACTGTACAACTTCTAAAAGCCTCTCAATATTTATGTACTTCTAAAAGGCTTTGTACACTTCCTATATGCTTCATCCATTGCACAGCTTTTGTTGGAAACTTAAGTCTCCATAGACTGGAGAGAACCCTTCAGAAGTAAAACTGGTTGAACTATATTAATTTACCAAGTAGATGTACTAATAATTCATACTAAAGAATCTGAAACTATAGCTCATCCCTTCCTGTCTAATACTAGCACTCATACCACTATTAGGTTGGTCAGAGTTTTCAAGTGGCTAAGTGACTATGAGCTGGCCCAACCCTTCTCACTGTCAAACACAGAAATGTGGTCTAGAGCAGCCAGGGATCTTGCCCAGTGCTTTGCAGAGAATCAGGTCAGGTTGGTCAGCACTCAAACCCATGCTCCCTCTCTCACATACCACCTTGGGCAGTACACCCTCAACAGCTCTGCAGTACCTTCACTGGCCTTGTGAGTGTCTTCTTTATTGTCACCAAGAGCTGCTTTTCCAGATGCTGGCTCGTCCTTGCTTTTCTCTTTGCTCTCATACATCTTACGAATCACTGAGGTAGGGGTGAAGGAAGGAGAAAGCTGCAGAGTACAATGATTCGTATTAGCACATTTTCTAAATGCCTTTTGCTAATCAAGGCAAGATTAACTGGCCAAACTACTCAGCAAGTTGAAGAGTTCCCTTATTGGCTACATGTGACAGAGGCCAACACCAATGTTCTGGTCTCTAGCTACTAGAGGTAAAGAAACAGGATAGGCCAAATAGATGGTGGCCCAATGCATCATCCCTTGCTCGCATCTCACTTTCATAAAAACCTAGACTTAGTTGTATATAAAAGTAGTTAAAGCACAGAGCTTCAACCTACCTGCCTGTATCTGTGGTAATGGGGACCTGCCTATGGCGCTGCCAGTTCCCCAGCCAGGGCATTAGGCTGGGAAGGGGAAGAACATGGCCAGAAGTACGCCCTGGAGCAGTAACACTTCCAGCGAGGAAAGGACATTTCAGAGACAACCTCAGAGCCTAAATTTCTCTATACAGCAAGTCCTCACTTACCGATATTGATAGGTTCTATGACTTTGAGCTAAATGACATATAATGAAACCAATTTTACCATAGGCTAATTGATAGAAACAAGTTATATCTACAGCATCTCATCAGCATTATAAACAAATGACACTGAACGAAACATAATTCAAGGACTTGTCATACTCCTACTAGAAAATTCAAAATTCATATTTTCTTCAGCTACTAGGATTCACCATTTGGGGTCATTTGTTCCCATCTCTTCACTGCTGATTTCTACTTTGACGATTTTACCATGCATGCAACTTTTTTCATTAACTAACCCAAATCCTTGATAGCAGGAGACAGGGCATAAATTATGAACAGAAAAGCTCCTTCTGGACCCTGCATTCAAGGTGCTTAGTGCAAAGACCTACTTGGGGTCCTGAACACAAGAGTAATAGTTTTCCCCACATCTCTCAGCTTTAACTAGGTGATAAAAATCTGTGGGGAGCCTGGCCAGCGTGGCTCAGCAGTTGAGCATCGACCTCTGATCCAGGAGATCAAGGTTTGATTCCAGGTCAGGGCACATGCCCAAGTTGTGGGCTTGATCCACAGCAGGGGGCATGCAGGAGGCAGCCGATCAATGACTCTCTCATCATTGATGTTTCTCTCTCTCCCTCTCCCTTCCTCTCTCTGAAATCAATAAAATATATTTAGAAAAAAAATCTGTGGGGAAACTTAAAAAAAAATAATGCTGGCACATGAGTCAGTTGTAAAATTAAGCTTGTCTCTACAAATAGGCAAGCCCTTCTGTTCCAGCAATATCAGATCTGTATCTGAATTTGTGAACTTGCCATGTTTCACTGGACTCCCCATGATCCAACTTTAGTCACCCCATTCACCTCACTTCCTGTCTTTGTTCCTGTCTTCCCCACTCCAATTGTTCACTTGTTTGAACATACTACAATATCACCTGTGTATTCCAGCCTATACTCGCTATCTGCTGGAACACATTTTCCCCAATGTAGGGCCTTTAACTAGAACCCTAACAGACTGAAAGGGGAAAATCTCATAAATAGGTATGAAAGACTATTAAATCAGTTATTCCTGTGGAAGGAACTCAAGGACATTTAAGTTACAGTGATACAACATAGGCACAACCGAACAAGGAGAAACCTAGAATCCTAGAAGTCATTCACAAAGGCAAAGGTCACTGACCATGCTTGTGATGGAGGCGGCAGGGGCAGGGGAAGAGGAATTCCCTCTATGCACGGGTGCTGGTGACTTCGTCACTCGCTGTTGCCTGTGAACAAACCAAGTATCAGTGTAAGCCCCAAGCTGCTCAAACTCTTAAGTCTTGAAACCACAAAATACTCAAGATCAGCCTAGCACTTTAACATCCCTTTCCCTTATCCAATTCAACTTCCCAAGCATTTACTAAGTGTCTAAATATGCAACACCACATGCTAAGTTCTGAGGGAAGACAAAAGCTTACTGAAACATGGTCCTGGGCCTTGCAAGAACTCCTGTCTAGTGGGGGAGATGCTTATTAACCTAGAACAAACCAAGGCATTCAGATATTAGGTACCAAGGTGTAATGGCAAACTGAGGGGTAGAAGGAATGACAGGATACTTCTATTGAAGGGGCTGTGGGAAAGCTTCACTGGTAAGGAGCTGCATTAAACTGGGTGTGACCAATGAGAAGCTACAAGATGGAGATCAATGATTTAGGTAGAAGGAACAGTTACAGGCCTTGGGAAGGCCTTCGGTATGTAGGGTTATCCACGGCTCGCGTATAGTTTATTTGTAGACTATACCAGTGAAGTAGACTTAGGGAGGGATTTCATTTTGTGGTCCAGGCTGTGCTCCAGAGGGTAGGGAGCAACACTGACTAGCACAGTGCCTGGCACAGAACTGATGCTCTGTGAGACACTGGCTCAAATCAAATACAACACCAACAGTTTCAGCTATTTTAAGACCTAGTTACATGCAGCATTCCCCACCAATCCTGGTCTGCACACAAGGCTGATCCCAGGCCTCCCAAGAACAGTTTAAAAGAACGGACTTGTGTTCTCTCCTGAGACATTCTACTCATTCTGCCTTAACTTGGAAGAAAACAGGAAACAGTTGAATATATAAATAGGCTGAGAGAAGAATGAATTATGTGAGCTCACTGGCTAATGAAAGCTTCACTGCATTTCAGCCATGTCAGACCCTGTATCACAAAAGCCAAAGCTGAAGTACAGTGATCCTGAAGTTCTCTGAATCATAAGCAAATGGGAATCCTAAACCCAAGGCCTCTTTCCAATCTATACCAGGTAAGCCCCATTGCTCCCATACTGAGACTCTGAACATCACAATGAGGGGAGAGGCAGATTAGTTGTATTCTGAGTGCTTAAGATGTACAGCCCATATCAGGTGGTTCTGCATAACCTATAATTTTTATTCCTTCTGAGGAACACTTACTATATGCTAGACACTGTTCTAGGTGATGGAGATACAGCAGTAAACCAGACAAGAAAACCTCTGGCCTCATTACATTCTTGTGGTTGCAGGGTAGAGAGGGGTTACAATGGACAGGAACACAGACAAAAAATAGTGTGCTAGAAGGTAAAAGTACAATAAATAAAGGCAAGGAGAAAGTCATGTCTGTCAGGGGACACAACTGTATATAGGGTGTTCAGGGAAGACCTGAGAGGTTGACATTTGATCCAAAACATGAAGGCTCCACTTTAACTCAGGTCCACTTACTAGTTTCAATTACGTTATACTTTAAAAACCTAAGTTTCTGTTTATGTAAAATGCAGTTATTTATCCCATCTACCTCACAGGGTTGTTGCCAAGAGCTATTTGCATAGCAAAAGTGTGTGAAAGTCAATCATGTCAATGAATATTAGATAACTACATCATATTGTAGAGAGAAATCCAGTGAAGGGGGCTTAGCAGACTAGTCCTGAGCTCTCTGATTAGGCTGAGGGCTACTAAAGATAGAATGCATTCATACAAGGGTACAGGGTACTTACTGGTCTCAGTGTCTTCTGAAAGTGTCAGCATATAAAACCAGCTGAAGCAAGACACTGAGACATGGATATTTTAAGAATCACATCAAAACACAAATACTTCTTAATTACCAAGTATTGTATGGGAAGGACTAAACTGTCCTTAAAGGCTAGACACTTCTGGGAGTATAAAAGGGGTATTAATGGGACAGGGCACACAAAGGGCTTCTGGGTAGCTAACAAAGGAGTTTGCCTTATACATTTGTTTAATGTGGTTTTTTGTTTTATTTTCCAATAAAAAAGAACAGTATTGCTACCCCTGCCCCCAACTTATGATTCCTTTCATTTTACTACTTGTTGAAACTAGCAGAAAGAACAGGAGGAGAGTGAAGTCAAGTTATCATTTGATAATGGCTCTGATCAACAAACCTATAACAAGGGATAGTTTGATAACTCGACAAGGAAATTGTGGGGGAGGAAGCTAGGTAGTTTTACTTTCTATCATCTTAAAGCATAATTGCAAGTAAGGAGCGATTCTAGCTATGTTTGTAAAAACGAATCCTTTAAATCAAGAATATAAATAGCCCGGCTGGGCGTGGCTCAGCGGTTGAGTGTCGACCTAGGATCCAGGCGATCAGGGTTCGCTTCCTGGTCAGGGCACATGCCTGGGTTGCGGGCTCGATCTTCAATTGGGGGCATGCAGGAGGCAGCCGATCAATGACTCTCTCATCACTGATGTTTCTCTCTCTCTCTCTCTCTCTCTCCTTTCCTCTCTCTGAAATCAATAAAGATATATATGTAGATATATATATAAGGAATATAAATAAAACTGCCTTGGCCAGTGTTGCTCTGTGGTTAGAGCATCAGCCTGTGCACCGAAGGGTCTCGGGTTTGATTCCCGGTCAAGGGCGTGTGCTGGAGGCAACCAGTGGATGTGTTTCTCTCACATC